GATTGATTACTGCTCCAAGCTAAAATATTTAAGAAAGCAGGCTCAATAAGTCCCACTATGCAGTGTACGAGGAGTGTGAGACAGACCTTTATTCTTTATGTTTTCAAATCTGACCATGATATTCCTTTCTTACTTCCCATAAAGTCATGAATGATGTCAGTATTTTGTTTTCTTTATAATTTTCCCAATCATATTCTTGTTAATGTATAAAATAATTTATTATTATAAATGATTCCACATTGTCCATATTCACAATTTATACTCCTCTATATAATCATTGTCAAAGTATGCATTTACAGTTTTGTTGTTTTGTGTATGTGTGTTTGAGAAGGTCTTACCCTAGCTCAGACTATCCTGGAACTCACTCTGTAGTTCAGCCAGACCTCACACTTGTGGTGATCCTCCAGCCTCAGCCACTCAACTGCTGAGATTATAGGCCTGCACTGCCATGCATATTCATAGCTGTCATTACAGCAGCATGTCATGAGCTATAATAGATTTGGTTGCTTACGTATTCAGTCTATTTCCTTCTAAGTTGCTGTACATCCTCCGTGCAAGCATTCTGAGGAAAGCAGCTTCATGGCCTCATTGTGCATGTTCCTGGCATCCTTAGCTTTTGAAAGAAATTCGAATGCATTCAAATTTTGAAGCAAAGTCTCTGACTACTGTGACTCCTGGACTTCTCATGACTGCTCTCATTTCTGATATGATATACTGTGATTAATTCTATTGCCAAATACATATAGGAATTAATATTTGTATTTTAAAATCAGCTGCATGTTTCTTCTCTAAAATATTGTTTTATGTTCAATTTTGTATAATTATTGGTTTATTTATTATTATATTATTATTATTAGGCTTTTTGAAATAGGGTCTCCCTGTAGCCCCAGCTGGCCCGGAACTCTCTATGTAGACCAGGATGTCCTCAGTCTCACAGAGACACATCTACCTCTGCCTCCCAGTGCTGAGATTAAAGGTGTGTGTTACTATTATCATTATTAGCTGTTAATCTAAAGCTCATTTTGTGACAGTCTGACCTATTTTCTTCAGTCATTTTTTTTTTTTTTGGTTGGTTGGTTGGTTTGGTTTGGTTGGGTTTTTGGTGTGTATATGTGTGTGATGCACCTTCATGAGTATGCAGATACATGGGTCTATGAACATGCATGCAGAGGTCATGGGAGGAATTGGGTGTCTTCCTCTGTCATCTTCTACTTTAGTCCCTTGAGACATACTATCTCACTGAACTGGAAGTTCACTGTTTCAACAAGACTGGCAGGCCAGTGAAATCTAGGGATATACCTGTCTCTGTCCCCCAGTGCTAGAGTTACAGGCATGTACAATATGCCTGTCTGTTTTGGTGGATGCTGGGGATTCAAATTCAGGTCCTCATGCTTGCACAGTAAGCACTTTTACTCAGAGAGCCATCTCTTAAGACCTCTCTATGGTAATTTTTTTTAAAACAAATGTTTTAGGTTTAACAAAATTATTCTTTTAAATTGTGAAATATTTCTATATGTTTATGTTTAGTATCTGTTAGAAAAAAATCAATTATTGTAAAGGAACGTAGGGCAGGCCAGGCATGGTGGCTCATGCCTTTACTCCCAGCATTCCAGAGGCAGAAGCAGGCAGACCTCTGCTATCAAGGCCAGCTTGAGACCTGGAACTCACATAGTGACACACTAACTCAAAAGACCAAAAACAAAAAAGTAGGGCATAAAATTTAACTGATGAAGGATGGACCATGAAGAGATGAAGCTGAAGTTTAACAGTGAAAAAGATGAAGAGCTGCATGATTAAGTTTATTCTTTCCTCATAGTTGGAAAACATAATGAAATTATCCAAATTAACAATTAACAAAGCTATTAGCTTTGAAAATTAGCTTTCTTTGCTTACATAGTCTTTTTTTTCCCTTCTATAATAGTTTCATCCTGCTTCTTAAACTGACAATTTTTCATCTACACTCATTTTAAATGTTCACCTAACTAGGTGGCAAAGACGTAAAATCTAGGGTTGAATCTGTATCAGTCCAGATCTCTGTGTTTTAGAAAGGGTACAACTATACTTTCAACCATGAGCACTGCTTCCGCTGAGGGCATCACCTAAGGCCGAGCTCCTTCTTCCTTATTTGCTTTTAATTCTGGAAACTGCATTTTTGCTGTCGTTGTTGTTACATTGATGGAAGTGTTTGCAAGACCCAGGAACATAACAACTTAATCATACAGTCGAGGAATTAAATGAGGTTCTTTGCATTACATTTTTAAACCCTAACTTTACTGATCTACTAAGGAGTACCTTTTTTTTTAAAATCAAGCCTGTTGTTAGCCTTTCCAATAACAATTCCAATAAATTCTTCACTGTTTAATTAAGAAAACTGCTCTGTTTATTTGTTTTCCATTCTTCTTTCTCCTTGTCTTCTTATAAATTGTTGGTGCAGCTGAGCTTCACCACCATCTGAATGAGCCACATCTTTATTTCATGTCATAGTCTATCCAGATCTTTTCTGTTTCTTCCATTCACCTCGGCACGGGTTGCAATCTACCGTTCATTCTTTCTAATGTTTTTGTAATTTCACTTGCCCATAAAATCTGAGCTGTGGACTGAAAACTTATTACCAGAAGTCTGACTCTTCATCTCCTGTGCTTCTTAGCTTTATTGACAGTTATTTGAGACCTCTTTAACTAAACTAGCTGTCCCATTTTATTTCCTTCCTGCCTGTCATAGCAATTATATGTGATGGTCTTTGCAGATGTATTTTCTCTCTCTCATCTGATTCTTTTATTATTCCTTTAATTGGTCCCCTTGCAGTTACATATTTATCTAATTACCTATTTGGAGACCTTTGTCTATATCACACAATAGGATAGTGTGGATTCTCTATTAAACCTGTTTCTGGCTCAAATTACTGTTTTTTGATACCATGAAAATTCACTGTCTGTCTCTAAACATCAGGTGTATTAGGTTACCAGTTTCTTTTCCTTCTGTTATAGTAGCTTTATCCTACTTCTTAAACTGACATTTTTCTAAATTTATACTCATTTTAGATGGTTATCTAAGTGTATGGCTAAGACTCCAAAACCCAATACTAAATCTGTATAATTACAGATTATAATTATAATTTGTGTTTAGTGTGAAGGACATTGATTTGTCACTACTGGAGGTATTAAAAGCCATATGTAATGTATTTTAGAAGCCAACAAGAAACTGCAAAAATATATGGAACACCTGCTGCATAAAGAAATATTCAGGAACAAAAAACACTCAAGTGGATATAAAATTCTACAAAGTTTCTTAAAAAGAAAAATGTTAACATCAAATTATCATACTCAAATCTGAAGACACTGAAAACAGTATCAGTGAATTCTGTAAGATGGTAAGCTTTGTGTCAAAATGGATTTAGAAAAAAATAATAATAAATGGTGGATTTAAATAAAAACAGGATGAGCATACTCAAAAATGGAGAACTAATATGAGGAGATATAGGGAAGTAGGAAGGAAACATTCAGGAAATAAAGGTAATGGTAACCATGTGGTTAGTGCAATGAAAGCAGATTTGGGAAGCTAGGAAGCCAAGCTCCCTAAAGATTCAAGTATCAGGGCTGGAGAGATGGCTCGGTGGTTAAGAACAGTGGCTGTTCTTCCAGAAGACCCGGGTTTGAATCCCAGCACCCATATGGTAGCTAACAACGGTCCATAACTCCAGTTCCAGGGGATCCAATGGCCTCTTCTGTCCCCCGTGGGCATTGCATGACGAGGGTGCACTTACATACATGCAGGCAATACACTCATATACATAAAATAAAAATAAATAAAATATTAAAAAATCCAAAAAACAAAACAAAACAAAAAAAGATTCAAGTATTAAAGAAGCTCCCTCATGCAAAACAGGGCCAGGAACACAAAAAGGTCACAAATGGACAAAACGTACAGAATCAGAGTCTACAGAGTGTGGGTCCTTGGACAGGACTCCTATATTAAAATGTATCTACCCAGGGCTCAGGGTCCTTTGTGGAAGAGGGAGTGTAAAGATTGCAAGAGCCAGGGAGGAGGTGCATGACCATCCAGAAATAGAGTCCTACAGGCTTCTGGGGCCCTGCTCATATGAACCTACAGCAATGGTGTCAGCATGCACAGGACCCACGCAAATTTAAGCAGACAAAAACCCAGAACAGAACTGTGGAAATGGACAGCAGGCCCCAACTTTAACCAAATAATTACTGGCAGCTGATTACTGCTGGGTGAGGAAGAGCTGATCTTCCTAGGGAGGGAATCTAGATAGGTTTACTAGACCTCAATGGATGAACTTGCACTGAGAGACATCTGGGGACACTAACTTCACATGATAGGCCTTAACACAAATGACAGAATGTATGAATTCCATTGGGGAGCTATTGGAGGGCATCAGTGGGGAAGGAGGTATAAAGATGATTAAGATGTTCTATATGAAATATACAAAAATTCAATTTAAAAAATTTAAGAAAAGAAAGATTCAAGTATCATATTCATAAGCAGAGGGCAAAGAAATGAGAGGGGAGGACCAGATAAGAGGCAATTACAATCACACAGGCAAAAGTCCAAATTGTCTAAGGAAGAACTGAAATTTGGTTTAGTTGTAACTAATAGTAGACGTTCCCATAAAAAAGACCATTATGCAATTAGATAAATTAGGGGTAAGAATGGAAGAAATGGCTAGAGTTCTGAAACTTTGTTGAGGTAAATTTCTCTGTGAAAAGTAGAGAGGTTTATTTGGAGGTAGGTAGTCATCCTTTCTATTTCCTGACACATAGCTCAATACTGTGTCTCTCATCAATGCCTGTCTCGTGGTACCTCTGTGTAATACCAGACCTCAATGTGAAAAATGCATTGCAGTTTATTCTTAAAAAAAAAATTCATTCATCTATGGTTTTAGTTAAAGTGTTTCCTTGTTGTTACTCAGACTAGTCTAAACTCCGAATCTTTCTTGCATCAGCCTCCCAAGTGCTGGAATTACAGGGGTGTGCCACTGTGCCCAACTAAACTGTAGCTATTTCTAAATTAATACATTTCTCTCCCAGAATGATAACAAAGGTGATACTGACCTTCCAAGCAAAGCTGAATGAAATTTCTGCAAGCTTTAGGAGCTTCTTTTGACCACAACTCTATGTCAATATCTCCAGCTGTAGTCTTCAATAAAACCTATAGAAAGAACATTATATCATATTAGTTTGTTTGATAACCAGCTATTCCACTTGCAACACTGAGTAATAAGTTTTTAATTTTAGAAGAAATATTACAAAACAAATGACTCATTTGATTGTTCTACTTAACAAAATATTAACTATTCATTCCAGCTCTTGTACATGCAGATGATTCAACATACCATTTTCAGAAAAAGTTAAGGACAAAGGAAAAAAATTAGTACATTTTTTTAAATTACAGATAACAAACTTTATTCATTTTAAAACCAAGAGTACAAACTTGAAACTATTTCTTATTACATTATTTCCAATAAAATTGGCATAGCAAATTATGAAATTAAAAAGTAATGAACCCATTGAATTATGACACAATTAGACAATTTTACAATTATTCATCTGAAATTACCCTTTAAGTGTACCTTCATGTTAAAACAGCACTATTCTTAATTCAGAACTGAATAGTCATTCTGTGTGTGTGTGCACATGTGTGTATGTATGTGTGTATACATATGTGTGCATGTAGAGGCCAAAGGTCAACATTGAGTGTCCTCCTCAGTAACTCACCACGTTATTTTTTGAAAGGTCTCTCACTGAATCTGGAGCTCACCAATTCAACTAGACTTGGGGCATAGTCAGCTGGGGGCCCAACAATGCTGGGGTTTCAGACACACAATACTAAGCCCAACTTTTTTGGTTTGCTTGGTTTTGAGACAGGGTCTCCCTGTTGTCCCAGGTGGCCTGGAACTTGCTATGTAGAGCAGGCTGGCTTGAGTCCCACAGAATGCTGGAACTAAAGGTGTGTGCCACCACACCTGGCCTAAGTACAACTTTTTATATGAATAAGGATTCAAACTCAGGTCTTCATGTATGCAAAGCAAACACTTTACCAACTGAGTTATCTCCCTAGTACCTTGTTTTTTTCATCATACTTTTTGTTTTTTTGAGACAGTCATATAGCTTTTTAGCATAGACTGACCTTGAACTCAGTAGGTATTCAAAGATGACCTTGAATTCCTGATCTTCTTGCCTCCACCTCCAAGTACTGGGATTACAGGAGTATGCTACCATATCTGGTTTATGCAGTTCTGGAGACTGAACTCAGGACTTTGTCCATGCTAGGCAAGTACCCTACCAACTTAGCTCCAAATGAATATTCATAATCTAATTATGGCTATGATTTACTAAAATGGCATGTCTTAAAAGTCACCATCTACAGTAGGCCATTTGATAGTCTCCTTTCTACTGGCTCATGACAGTGGTTTCTCCTTGGTAGAACCAGCCACTTTATAACAACCAGGATCCAAACTAAGCCCACAGGAGGAAACAGTTTATATAATAACAGGCTTAATAACTAAAAATAAATAAAAACAATGTTGGTCCCTAAGTTTGAACATCACGGTACAGCTGGAGTCCAATTTCTCCAGTATTAATTTTTCTTCTTTTTCATCCCTTAGTGTACAAAAGTTGATCAGGATCAATAATTTGTGACCACTACAATCACTTCAAATGTCCTTAAAAATAAAGGCTGGAGAGTAAATAAAAATAAAACTCATTATCATAGGAAGTCAATATTATTGATATGTCATACTTTTCCTTATCTAAACCTACTTAGTTTCCATAAAAACAGTTTTGGAAATGGAGGAAGCTTAAAAATTATTCAGGCAACCCTGACTTTCATGGATGCCCTGGAAGTTGTAAACTGCCCCTGAATCAGAAAACTTGTGAACACAAAGCAAGAAGAGCATTGGATCCTCCTCCTCCCCTGATTAGTTCATTTTTGCAACAGCTTCATTTCAATTTGTTTTGGAAGTCCAGAAAATGCCATCATAAATGTATAAGACACTGATGAATCTTTTCATTTTTGTAGCCTTCCCTGGCTACATTAGTGCTTCAACAACTACTTTTCAGAGACCATGAAAACAAGAGAGGCGAAAATATCTATGTGGTAGATTTGTTTTTAATTTATTTAATAACCACAAAATTAGTAGAAGCATTTCATTACAACAGCATTGACATAGTCAATAAAAGTTTTCAAAGCAAAAATGCATCTTTTTCAAAATTAGCTGTAAAGTTTTAGGTTCACAGTGTTGAATTAATACAGCTATACATTAATTGTACTCAGTATAAACCCTATAAGACATAAAATTGAATAAAGTTTTTAACCTTTAAAAAAGATCTCTTCTTTTTAAAAATATATTTTTTCATATAGAAAAACTCATTTGTAATGCAACTTAGATGTTTGCACATGAGTCTCTAATCTCTATATATTTGATTATTACTAGTCATAGTAGGTTACTTTCCGAGATCCTTGCACCTGAGCATGGATATAAAGTCATCAGGTAGATTTCAATGGTCGTGTTTTTCATTTTTACTAATTAACATGAAGCAAATTTTTATGCTTCTTCCTCAAATATAACTCACTTTTTTATTTATTGATTTTTTGTGTATTTCATACAGAAACAATCTTATTCATTTTTAAATACTTTCATTAACCTCCAAAGAAATAATTTTTAAAAAGCCAGGCATGCTGGCCCATACAATTAATCCCAGCACTCAGGAGGCAGAGGTAGGTGGATCTCTGGGAGTTAGAGTCCAGGCTGACCTACAAATGTCCATGGCTACAGAGTAAGACCTTATCTCAAAAATAAAATAAAATAAAATAAACAATAAACAAATAAATAAGAAATGCAAATATATATATAATTTTCTCAACACATTACAGTTCTATAAAAAAAAAAAAAACAACCTTTTGTTGATGTCTTCCATGCTAGGCAGCTTACAGACTTTATCCCACTAAATCCATACCTATGAGGGAGGTATCATATATCCCATTTTATTCAGAAAGGAAAAGAGACTTCAAAGTATTTTTAGTCAAGGACACACAGTGAATGAACTGATGACTGTACCTTTTCTATAGCATCATACTACCTCATGAATGTTCGCCATTTTTTCCATACTATGGTGGAAACACTCCCAGAAAGATACTCCATGTGAGATGGTGACAAACCAACCCAACTTGATCCTCATTCCACTGGGAAACAAAATCTTGGATTTGAAGTGAGACGCTAGATAACTTCATGATCTCACAGTGACCTGAGACAACAACACATACTACTTTATAATTTTCCTAGTCCTAATGTGCATCTTGTCCTGACCTACTTCATGTACTAGGAAAAAAAAAAACAGTTATTAAAGCAAATCTAGACATGTCTTTTCTTTGTAGTAGTCATTGTAAGAATTTTGAGATTACATAAATCACATTTTTGAATAATTCTTATCTTAATTTTGTAATCTTACAACAAATCTTGTTTATTTGTTTTGAGACAGGGGCTCACTATGTAGCCCCAGCTGAACTTGTTATGCAGACTATCCAGGCTGGCCTCAATCTCAAAGATCCTCTGGCTTCCAAGTGCTGGGATTAAAGGTCTGTGCCATCACACCCAGCTCAACAAAATTTTTTAATAGTATTTACTGAGCTACAAGCCATGTACCAGTAATTTCACCCTTTTTAAAAGAATTCATTCGTTTGTAGTATACTCACAGAGTTCAGCAACCACTACCACTATTTCCAGAACATTTCATCACCCTGGAAACACAACTTAACACCTATTATCAGTCCCTCTCCATTTCCCCCTACCATTACCCCTTGGTAACCACCAACCTATTTTCTGACTGTACAGATTTTCCAACTGGACATATCATATAAATGGAATTAAAAAGATGTGCCATTTTGTGTCTGACTTCTTTCACTCTACATATGTTTCTTTCAAATTAAAGAAGTTTGTCTTCTTGTTTTTTAATTTTTAAATGTTTTTAAAAAATTTAGTCAAGTAGTCAAGTATAAGCAATGGCTTAATGGTCTTACTGACAGAATATTTAATACAAAGTTCATCATTAACAAGAGTAAACAGAAACAGATACTCCAAATAGCCTTCATAGTAATTTCCAATTATTTGATAGTCCTCCTATGCTTATGTTTTTGTATTATTAATTTTATCTTCAATATGAAGTTCATGATCTTCAGTATGAAGTTCATGAGGGCTGGATTAGTTTACCTTGGTACCATGGTCTATAAATCCATGTAACCAAATTATTAAAAGTTAGACCATAATTTTTTTTTTTTTTTTTTTTGAGACAGGGTCTTCCTGTAGCCCTAGCTGGCCTAGAACTCACTATATAGACCAGGCTGGCTTTGAACTCAGAGATTCTCCTGCCTCTGCCTCCTGAGTGCTGGGATTAAAGGCCTGCACCACCACGCCTGACCTAGACCATAATTTTTTTTTTTTTTTTTTTGCAGTGTGACTCCAGACAAGATCCAAAGAGGAGATGTACAGTCTCTTCCCTGGATCTAACATCTGACCCCATTTCCTAAAACAGAGGTCATAGCCCCACTTATTTGTTGTGAGGAGAAAATGAACTATTATACACAGATTGTTTGGAATGGCAGCTCACAAATAAGTACTCAAAACCAATAGCCATCATTATCATCCTTACCTTTTTTTTTAACCGCAGAGCATTTACATTGAGAAAATATGCATACGGTTGAGCCATTTTGTACATCTTAAAACTTTTCACTGTTAAGCTACTAAATTAATAATGGATTTTTCCTCCTTTGGCCATGACAACATTCAGAAGTTAGCCATTGATGTCATGTGTCAATTACATTCCTAATTGATCCCATGCTTACCAAATAAGAAATCTGTCCCATTGAGTCCAATTTATCTGTACTCTTTCAGTGCTTAATGTTTCATTAGACAGTAAAGGCACTGAACAAGTGTTCATTCAGCAGACTTGCTATTATATCTGCTTTGTATTCCTAACAAACTAAAATTCTTGCTATCTTCTCTATATCTTGCCATATTCTCCATGTCTTTAATTACCCTATGCTAGAAAAAGGCCCAATTTGGCTTTAAAGGCAATGAATGGGCTATGCCTTATGTCCTCCTTCAGCCTGTCTGTGTTCAGAAGAAAAATGGTATTCAACATAATCATAACTACATTTTTATTTGCATAATTATCTTATCAATATAGAGTTCATTCAACTGACTCAACAATAAAAGGAATGACAGATTTCTCTTCCAGTGTTTCCTTAAAACCTAACATAAAGCCTGTGCTTTGCAGTCAAAATTGTTTGTTTGGCTAGGGAAATGGCTCAGTGAGAAAAGCATTTGCCACACAAGCCTGAAGACCTGAATTCAAATCCTCAGAACCCACATAAAAGCCAAATGCAGTGATGTGCATCTGTAATTCCAGCCCTCATATGAAGAGTTGGGAGGTGAGAGGTGGAGACAAGAGAATTCCCAGAAGCACCTGGTCTAGCTAGTCTGGCATATGCTACACCAAACAACACAGAGATATGCCTCAAAGGAAGATAAGGACCAATACCCAATGCTGCACTCTGGACCTCCACATGAATGCTGTGGTATTCACACATTCACACACACAAAAAAAAGTTTGTTGAAGGAATACTGTTTAGGAGTGTTTTAAATCTACGATCATGTCAAGAATGCTCTAGAGTAAAACAACTAAATTTCCCTTAACCAACAACAGTTTAACTTCACACTCACTGATGCGTAATACCGCTCAGCAGCTAGAGGAAAACTAGCATTAATCCATCTGCTTATCCATGTTTTCTTCGAAT